GACCTACTGCCCTTTTATTAACTTCATTTAGTGGGCACTGAAAAAATGAGTTTACAAATTTCCAGAGACAGCAGCATTATACAAATCACTTTATAAGAAAACACCATCACAGTGCGTCCCCTGGATCAACCTGACTAGCAGAAACCTACAAATAAGAACAGTGAGACCAGAAAACTTCTAAAAAGCATTTGACAAATGTGATAGCTGCTTCTATCCCAAATCACTTCTCTATCCAGCTTGAGCACCAATTTCCAAATATTCAGTGGATCACTAGATCACAATGATCAATCCCATCAGGGTCTACATCGGCTCCCATTTCCCTTCTATCTCCCCAAAACACAAACTTACAGAGATCTGCACAAAAGCAGAAGCTCAATGCCTGCTAAATGTCAGTCATGATTCCATCTTAAAGCCATAAAAGATCACCTGCATATCTTAAAGCCATGATGCCATCATTTCTTTATGTCAAAACAAAAACATTAATTTTTCTAAAACATCCTAAGATTCTTTAATACACTGTAATGGAAATACCCAACACAGCCACCCTGAGGTGTAAATGAAATCGGGACTTACAGCATAGCTGCCAAACTGTATTCTGGTTCCTCTCCTCCACTCTCCTCCACTAAGTCCATATTTAGGGGTTTCAAACTGCTTTTGTATATGGAACCATTTCAAGTAAAATGAAACAATATGTAGAAGCCTGATGTATAAAACACTGTAATGCTGATCTGTTCTTATTGAAACATGGGTCAAGGAAGACCCAAAACTGTGCCATTCATTCACTCAACAAACATTTTTTAGTTCCTACTGGGTACCAGACTCTGTCCTGGGCTCCAAGGATATAGTGTGACCAAAATATCAAGGGTCCCACTCCTAGACACCCCACAGAGCACAACTGCAAAACTACCGCTTATCGTTAGTAGTTTTAAAACACCATCTTATTAATGTAAATCTCTTACCCAAACCTCTTTGATATAGTTTGAACCAAATGCACACCCTGCCATGTTCAGTTCTCTGGAATACAGGCCCAGTCTACCCTTCTCATTTTATCTACTTGAGGTCAAACTTCTACTTCCTTCACACTGCTCTCCTCATTGAACTACACTATTACTGCTTATTCCAACCTACGTACCTCTGCATGTATGGCTACCCCACTTTAAAAATCTCCTCTTCTCCTGGACATTCCTCCAGACTCCCAAATGCCTATCTTCAAATGTCAATTTTTTCTAGAAAGTCTCCACAACTATTCTAACCCATATTGATCTTTTCTTGTCTACTCCAACAATACCATTTGTCTGTATTACTCTTTTTGGTCCCAAATTATATGCTGTCTCTATAAGCATCTGTGTTTCATCTGTAAAAGTCACCTCATCAACCAAACTTATACTCTTTTTGTATTGCCCCAAAAGTTCACAATCCATAGGAACAGAAATAATTTTGCAATACATCATCTGCTAATTAATTTCATTTTTTCAATACAGAGGTCTCTGGTAAATCTAATCAAATTCTGAAATAAGTTTCAAAGTTTTTCAAATACATATAATACTAATGGTACACATGGTATTACTATAATTCAGAAGAACATTGTATGCATTCTTCCAAAGAAATACTACTGTCAAAGAACTACAAGTGTTAAATGTTTTAAAATGACACAAAAGATATAACATCACCTATTTAATGTGGATAGTATGCACACAGAAAGTACTCATATTTTTTGAATGAAAGAAAACATTAAGATATCTCAAAAGTGAAGACAACCTGTGTTTTTCTATAGATAATGCCCAACAGTTGTAATGAATTTAAAATATTGCCAATATTTTCAGGCCAGGCGCAGTGGCTCACACCTGTAATCCCAACATCCTGGGAGGCCGAGGCGGGTAGATCACCTGAGGTCAGGAGTGCGAGACCAGCCTGGCCAACATAGTGAAACCTCATCTCTACTAAAAATACAAAAATTAGCTGGGCGTGGTGATGCATCCCTATAGTCCCAGCTACTTGGGAGGCTGAGGCACAAGAATTGCTTGAACCCTGGAGGCAGAGGTTGCAGTGGGCTGAGATCGCACCACTGCACTCTAGCCTGGGTGTAGAGTAAGACTCCATCTCAAAATAAATAAATACATAAATAAATAAGTATATATACACATAGCAAATATTTCCTATTAGTAGTATTTAGGTAAATACAAATCTTGAAATTGTAACATTAGAAGCCCTCCCCTCCCACCTTCATCACTCTTAGCCAATAAGACTGATGTACAAGGTCAGTCATCACTTTCCCTAAAGTGATTCACTTTAGATGCCATGAATCACTAAGCAGAGACATTTTGTTAGTCCATGTCCACTTGTCAAGGTCTATTCACAGTGTCATTAGTCATCGTTATAAGTTGGAAAGGGAAATGAACTTTCTAAATCTATGGTCATGCAACACCAGGTATTAGCTTTAGACCAATGACAGGCATTTGAAAGAATTACCATATAATGAGAACATATGCTATCAAAAAAGCACTTCCTTTAAAATGCCTATACTTATTTCAGGGTACTGAAAGAACCATTGCTGAACCAAAATAGTAGCCAATAAGTAACTAGTCTTTCAAAACTCTAACAGAAGTTTATGGAATGAAATGTCTAGGCCTTTTCTAAGAACACGGTAAGATAAATCGGTTTCCCACATTTTATGGCTAAGAATCAATAGTTTATTAAACTATTGATTATTATTAAGCTGTTTATTAAATAAACAGCTTCCCAGGCCTCTCCACTGGGGTTTCAAGTCCAGTGGGTCTGTGCCGAGGCCTGGGAATCTGTATTTTAAATAACAACCTCAAGAAGATTCTTAAGAAGCAGCTTGACAAATACAGAGATAAAATGTCTGACATATCATACTTTTCCTGAGGGTACTCATCGCTTTTGATTATGGAATTATGCATCAAAATACTTAGTGAATGAAAAATTTTAAAAATCATAATATAAATCCAAACTTATTAGCCCTACTTAAGTGACCAACACAGAAGTAGATGAAAAGAGAGTACAAGTAAGGCAGAGATTTTTCAGCAGAAATGTGCAAAAGAACTCTGGATTAAAGGGTCAGACAATGTGGCTTATGCCTGTAATCCCAACACTTTGGGAGGCTGAGGCAGCAGGACAGCTTGAAGCCAGGAGTTCAAGACCAGCACAGGCATCTAAGTGAGACCTCTATCTCTACAAAAAATTTTAAAATTAGCTAGGTGTGCTGGCACGTGCCTGTAGTCCCAGCTACTCAGGAGGCTGAGGCAGGAGGATGACTTGAGACCAGGCGTTCAAAGCTGCAGTGAGCTGTGATCACACCAATGGACTCCAGCCTGAGTGGCAGAGCAAGTCATCTCCAAAAATAAAGATAAAATAAAGGGCTATTTATCTAGGATTGGTTAAGCATGTTTTTGCTTAATGGCAACAGTGGACCCTGCTCCTTCATTTGGAACAACAGGATTAAGCTCTTTATCCTATCTCTCTTTACTACAATTATTGAAAAGGATTTAAAGATGGTTATTGAAAAAGGCTTAAAGACAAATCGTATTTCATTTGTATCTGAAGTCCATTAGAAAGTCTATCAGCTAAGAATCTCATATTCCTGTGAAACTGCATAAAATTAATTTTGATTTGATATTCTGAGTCAGAGCAGGAAAAATCACCAAGAGGTTTTTAAGCAAATGGTCTTGCTCCTCATCACTTCCAATGATTCCAAGCCCTCTCTAACATTATTTATTCATAATGCTCCCAGAAGAAAATGCTTATGATTAACTACTATGACCCTGCATCTTCTGAGTTGCCATTTTGATTTCCCTCTGCATCTCCGCATGTATCAGAATAAAATTATACAAGATTCAGCTTTCAAATAAAGCATTTCAACTGAAAATCAACTAATTTGAATTTCAGGAGGTGTGGTGGCCAGCATCAATTCCAGGTGAGTTGAATTGAGATTTTAACCTAACCAGCACAGAGGCTATGTGAAAAAGTAGAATTTAGATAAACATTTTTCACTCTAATTGTTGAAAAATTATAAAATACAACTAATTCCCCCTGTAATGATTCAGCCCTTTCTGCTCCATCTGGAGAGTAGCTGTTCCCCATATCTTGAATTTAACATAGCTTTCAGCTAAATAATCCTTAGATATGTAGGTGTGGCAGATTGAGAAAATTTTGCTTCAACATCATCTTTGTTTGATTATAAAACTGCTGAGGTTAGGAGTAATTGCTGCTGTAGTGAGAAAAAAACAGTAACTCCAACCACTGCTCCACTTTCCCAGGGTGCTGGGAGGAGGCAAGAGAGCTTTGTAATAAACATTAATCTCCTTCTCGGAAAAGAACTGTGTGAAGGTCTGCAGCAAAACAATTCCTTACATTTGTACAGAACATCATGCTTCCCAAAGCATTTAACTTACATTAATTTAATCTGATGTGGAACAAGCATGTAAAAGCAGAGATAATGCTTCAGGATGTAGTAACAAGGGAACAAACACATCTGGGTCATCTGAGCCTTCCAAGGCCCCTTGGCTTTTACAATTCAACAGATCTTCCATTTTGATAATTGGAAGGTTAAATTACAGGACACCTTTATGGATTAGGTACCTGGCTTGGCACATTATAAATAAACATTTTTTAAATGCACCTGTGATTCTTTACCTCCTTCTGGTTGACAAACAACTTTAAAAATGTGTTATACTATTTGTTATAATATTACAATTAAAGTACCACTCTATGTACCAGTCTTGTTATCTATTATTTAATAATTATTAGCAATTGGTTTTATGATCTCAGTCTCATTACAGAACAGGTAAAACAGTACAGTTATTGTCATTTACACTAAATTAAAATTGACATGCATACGGCTGAAGAATAAGCCATTACTAGCAATTTTCATTGACAAACCAAGTCCTGAGGAGTTAGGTATTAAAGACGGTTGTTAGATAAAAAATATGGCGTTACTACTGGAAGACATTTTCTAATGCTAAGAATATTAAAAATCTTACCTATATATAAATTGGACCTGAATTCCACATTGTGGTCTCTCACTGCCATATCTTGTGCTTCTAAGAGAACCTTAAATAAGAAAAAGAAAAGCATTTAATTGGCTAACCCTGAAGTAAAATGGAATTAAGTTTCTCATCTCTCATGATCTCTGTACTATGACTGCTCATCACATGCTTCCATAGTCAATTTTAAAAAGAGAATATCAAATGATAAGAGTACAAAGGAGACGGGAGCTTTCCTTCCTTAGACCAAGAATTGTAAATGCACAGAACACAGCCCATCCTACTAAGTTTTAAATGACGTATGTAAGCTATAAAGGAGATAGCGGCGCTTGTAAGCAGTACTCTTGGGAAGGAACATTACGTCTCTGAGTCAGAAACTTGTCAAAAAGTTCCCAAGGCCAGATGCGGTGGCTCACACCTCCGTGATCCCAGCACTTCAGGAGGCCAAGATGGGCAGATCACATGAGGCCAGGAGTTTGGGACCAGCCTGGCCAACATGTCAAAACCCCGTTTCTACTGAAAATACAAAAATCAGCCAGGTGTGGTAGTACATACCTCTAATCCCAGGTACGTGGAAGGCTGAGGCTGGAGGATCACATGAACCCAGGAGGTGGAGGTTGCAGTGAGCCAAGATTGCACCACTGCACTCCAGCCTGGGCAACAGAGACCCTATCTTAAAAAACAAACACAAAGTTCATGAAACTCAATAGCTTAATCTTACTGAGAAGTCTTAGCTGGGATGGTGGCTCATGCCTATAATACCAGCACTTTGGGAGGCTGAGGCAGGAGGATCACTTGAGGCCAGGAGTTCGAGACCCGCCCATCTCTACAAAAGTAAAAAAATTGCTGGACGTGGTGGCGCACACCTGCAGTTCCAGCTATTTGGGAAGCTGAAGGATGAAAATCCCTTGAGCTCAGGAAGTCAAAGCTGCAGTGAGCTGTGATCGTTCCATTATATTCCAGCCCTGGGCAATGGAGTGAAACTCTGCCTCCAAAAAAACAATAATCTAATTAAAAACTAGAATAAAATAAAAATTCTTAAACTTTGGATGCAGAGTAACCTTTAACATCAGACAAGTAGAGAAAATCACACTTGATATAGTAATTTCCTTGAAGAAGTTATCAAATTTACTCTCCATGGATATCGAATTAACTTCCTCCAGAACACATTTTTGTAAAAATACAAGAACACATTTTTGTAAAAATATGACAATTGGGCCAGGCGCAGTGGCTCTCCCCCGTAATCCCAGCACTTTGGGAGGCCGAGGTGGGCAGATCATGAGGTCAAGAGATCGAGACCATCCTGGCCAACATGGTGAAATCCCTTCTCTACTAAATATTCAAAAATATTAGCCAGGCGTAGTGGCGCACATCTGTAGTCCCAGCTACTCAGGAGGCTGAGGCAGGAGAATCATTTGAACCCAGGAGGTGCAGGTTACAGTGAGCCGAGATTTCGCCACTGTACTCCAGCCTGGGTGACAGGGCAAGACTCTGTCTCAAAAAAAAAAAAAAAAAAAAAAAGACAATTGTCAGAAATAACAGAAACCAGATCAAAATTTTATGCCTTAAAAGATAAAGAATGTAGTACATGGCTGGGTACACAACGAATACTTGTAAATGCATTCTGCATTGAATTAAATATAGCAAAATCATAGCATTACGAAGGAACCTTTTAGAAGTCTGAATCTATCAATCTCAACTATTTAACTATTACCACTAAACTGAAAGGTATGAACTGACTTTTGGTGAGAATTAACTGAATATATAGAAAATAATGTTGATATCCCCAGATGGTAAGGCACAATAATCAATACAACTTTTTGTAACAAGACTATTAAAAAAGAAAAATAGGCCAGACGCAGTGGCTCACACCTGTAATCACAGCACTTTGGGAGGCCGAGGTGGGCGGATCGCCTGAGGTCAGGAGTTCGAGACCAGCCTGGCCAATATGGTGAAATCCCATCTCTGCTAAAAATACAAAAGTATTACCTGGGTATGGTGGCGCACATGTATAGTCCCAGCTACTAGGGAGGCTGAGGCAGAAGAATCACTTGAACCCAGGAGGCGGAGATTGCAGTGAGCCGAGACCGCGCCACTGCACTCCAGCCTGTCCGACAGAGCTAGACTCCATTTCAAAAAAAAAAAAAAAAAAGAAAAATATATATGTAATAAAAAAAGAATATTCATGTTCCTAGAATGAGTCACCACAATTACCATCAGCACATTTGTATCTAGTGAATTAGCTACATTTAGAGTTGGAAGGATCTTTAGGAGCCATCTAATCCAATCCCACATAGTTTAGGTGAGAAAAATAGAAACTGACTGGTTAAGTGTCTTGCTCACAGTCACAAGAAAAAGATCAGAGAAAATACTAGCATCCAAGGCTCTTGAGTTCCAGTCCAGGGCTCTTTCCATTAAGTTACAAAATTATGTCGTTATAAAAATTCTCCTTTATAGGAAAAAAAAAAACTTTGAAAAAATATACCTTGAAGTTCAGCCTTGCTCCAAGAAATAAATAATATATATACAAACACAGATACATGCACACAAATATACACGTATATGTATACACATATATGCACCAAGCCCCAAATCATTAAAAATTAAGGTTCATCACATCATAAGCAGTAAAAAACAGATAAATATCTGGTGGAAATAAAAGCATCTCAGGAAATAAACACCTAAAGCACACAACATTCCTAAGCATACATACATTTAATAAACTGAGCACCTTAAATCTGTATTATACAGAGTATGCATTTACAACAGAAAATGTATTCATAATTTAGGCTAAGCTTACTAATAATTGCAAAACAGCTGCATTCCCCAGTTCCCCATTCCCTACCACACCCAAACTTGTAAGTTTACCTCTTTAATTATTTTGGCCCCTTTTTTGTCACTGAATTCCAACTGAGCCAAAGCCTGGTCAATAGACATTCCTCGTATCTAGAATTAAAGGGTGAGAGACAAAAGAAAATAAATTAGTTTACAAAGTCAATGTTTCCTTTTTAATGAAAGCCTTACATGATTTGAGTAACTTCTAAAATCAGTGAATTGAACCCAAGCAAAAGAGAAGAAAACAAGTTTGAGAGGAGATACTATTCTCTAAATGATACTAAATGATACAAGTTTGAGAGGAGACACTATTCTCTAAAATGAAACAAACATTTTAACCATAAAACTGAGACTGTAATAGCTTCAATAACATTAAAGGACAGCAAACATGACAGAGACCACAGGTTGGTAACGACTACGCTAGGCATTCAAGGCATCTCCTTCTCCTATAGGACAAATGTTATGTGTACATTTGATGCTTCTGTCTCCCCTCATCTATGAATTTCATTTCCTAGGGGAAAAAACATAAAACCAACTGTTTTAAAACAGGTTGAATCAAGTTTACAGATAAATACGTAGGTTTCCTGGATTCTCTGGTTATAGCCAAACTCCTTATGCCTTTTAGCATCTATCTATCCAATGTGATTTAGTTTCTCAGAAAAAGGTGAAAATTAAGGAAAATCATACATCTCTGAACAATCATTCTTTTGGTTACCTACCAACTGTATCATATTCCTCACAAATCTTTTTTATTTTTCAAATCCTGGGATGAGGGTTGGGGAGGGGAACTCATAGCTTCTTTCCTAAATTATTATATGGTAATAGTCATTGTAGCTTACCAATTTTGCCAAATACCACATCTTGTCTTTGCTATATTTTATTTGTCTTCGACAGTGGTAGATTTCCTTACAAATAGGAAAACAAAGGACAGAAAGAACATTTTAGCAGGTTTATCACAAAATGGCAGTAACATATACTGTCATTAAAGTTTTTACTTTCTAGGCCTAAAGAAAATGCTGCCATAAGAAATAGAAACATTACTAAGAATTTAAAGATTATTTCTCTCTACATAAAGTTGTATTTTTCCAAAGTCTCACTATGTTAAAAGATTACTAAGGGAGAAATAGAAACTATACAATGGCTGGTTTGTGTCATGACTTGCAACATTTCTATCCAAAGAAATACTAAAAGATTTAAATTAAAGTATCTTGAAAACATTTAGCTGATTAAAAGAACAAAAGAAAAAGTACAAGAAGAAAAAGTTCAGTATTAATGAGGAGAAAAACGGCAAAATGGACAAAATAAGTGTTTTCATGTGAAAAGCTAATATTCTAGGTGTTTGGTCAACAGCATAGGTTCTAGAATCAGACTGACTGGATTTGAATCCTAACTCTGTCATTTACTAGCTACATAATCTTGAGCAAGCTACTTAACCTCTAATTTTCCTCTTCCGTAAAATAAATAAAATGATAATTAGAGGGAAATAAAATAACCTATTCCAAGAAACCATTTTATAGTGCCTGGCACACGGTAACTTCTCAGTAAATGTTAGCTTTTATTATCTTCTATTTAAAGTGGTAGGTATGTCCTGTTTAATTACAATGTATAGTTCAAAAAGCACTTTTCGCTCATTATTTCATTTAGTCTAACTCTATGAGTTGAGAGACGAAACATTTTACATAAACTGAAAATCAGAGAAATCAAGTGACTTAAGACCACAGGTTTGCAAGAGACAAAGTTGGAATTCAAAGAACAGAAAAAGTATAATACACCTGATACAATACAATGTCTAGCACATCTACTTTCAAAAGTTCCTCTATTGACTCTAAAACCCACTTTCTTTCCACTACTATACCAAACTGCCACTTTAAAAAAAAAAAAATTAGAAAACATGTGTTATGGGAAACTGTAGCAAGGAGGTCTCAAAACTTTCTAACATTCTGACTCCTGCTGGACATTTTCAAATGCCTTAGAAAGAGCAGTTTTCTCAAGTGGCCATCTTTTAATATGTGGCAGATTTCAGCTGCAATAGAAGCAGACAGCCTGAAACTATAGCAATAGCCTAATTACATTTTCAGCAATAAAGTGTCCTGGGGAGACAGGGAGAGGAAAGAACTGTCATGACTGATAATAATGATCTGCAAAAATTAATCCACTCAACGAAATCTTTCATATAGAAAAGACCCTTTAATTTGTGCATTCTTGTGGTGGGATACCTTTAAACCTTAATTTTGTATGCTTACCCTCAAATTTTACACATATAAAAACTTGTAATCCTGACCAGAGGATGGCAAAAAGGAATGAAGTGTTTACAAGAAAGGCGAAAATGACTCAATCATCCTCTTCCAAAACTGAAAAAAAACCTCAGCATTTACTTTGGACAGGTGAAATGTCTAAGGGCACTTTCTAAAGATAAAGGAGACAAAGTCTCAGTACGTAAGTATCAAGCAAATAGATAAAGTAACAAAGTTGGAGGTTGGAAGGCCTAGTTATATATCTCTGCCATTAACTGACCTATACAGCAAATTAGATAAAGTGAGGATAGGATACGTAAAATAGTTATTCAAACGAAATAAATGTATGTCTAAATTATAAAATGTCTAAAACAATAACTTTTAAATAAATCAATTTATTTTTAAATGCATACAATAATTCAAATGAGGAAAAAGTGTTACCTAATAAAAGTTCTGGCCAGGTGCTGTGGCTCATGCCTGTAATCCCAGCACTTTGGGAGGCCGAGGCAGGCAGATCGCTTGAGCCCAGGAGTTTGAGACCAGCCTGGGCAACATGACAAAAACTCATCTCTACCAAAAATACAAAAATCAGCCGGAAGTGGTGGTACATACCTGTGGTCCCAGCTACTCAGGAGGCTGAGGTGGGAAGATCTCTTCAGCCCAGGAGGTCAAGGCTATAGTGAGCCATGATTACACAACTGCACTCTAGCCTGGGCAACAGAGTAAGATCCTGTCTCAAAAAAAAAAGTTCTAGGCCAGCTGCAGTGGCTCACACCTGTAATCCCAACACTTTGGGAGGCCAAGGTGGGTAGATCACTTGATGCTAGGAGTTTGAGACCAGCCTGGACCACATAGAGAAACCCCATCTCTACTAAAAATACAAAATTAGCTGGGCATGGTGGCACACGCCTGTAACCCCAACTACTTGGGAGGCTGAGGCACAAGAATCGCTTAAGCCCAGAAGGCGGAGGCTGCAGTGAGCCGAGATCATGCTACTGCACTCCAGCTGGGCAACAGAGCTAGACCTTGTCTCAAAAAAAAAAAAAAAAAAAGGTCTTATTAGAGCTTTATGAGATTCTGATTCACATTAATGTATTATTATCAGCATGTTGACTAATTCATAAGTTAAAAATATGTCTCATATAGAAATGGTTGTTGGGGGAGTGAAGAAAAAGAGGAAAAATAAGAAATGGTAGCTCAAAGAGTTTTGACACAGTCTCATTACACTTTTCATTTATTTAACATAGCTTTTTTCAAAGACACTGCAAAAGTAAACTCAAGCCCGAATTAACAAGGTGTGACTATCATAAAGAAAGCCCTTTAATTTCTCTCTGGCTCATTTTCTTTATATGAAGCCCTATATAAGATAAAATCTACATAAGAATCTATATTCTTTGGAAATTGGTGCTAGCTAAACTACGAAGTTAGTCTTAAAAATATGAGGACTAGCCTAAAACAACTCTACATTGGTAACATTCATTTTAATTTACTGCTACGGGGTTTGTTCGCTATCCCATCCACTATTATTTATTGACTATATATTCTAATGCAAAAGATCAGACTTAGGTAGAATGGTAGATATTACCTGGCCCTCTTTTCAGCTAGAGATAAAACTGATTTTAATAATGGTTGCAGCTGGCAGATTGGAAATTCTAAGAGACATTGTACATTATAGCACAGTATTATGAACTATATGGCCAGTGAATAAATTATTCCTGGTAAGTTAGGTATTTATGAAGGGTATCGGTATTCCCAGTCATAAAAGGTACAACTGATATACCAATATTAAATTACTAAATACTATTTAAAGTCAGAAAATGTTCATATTTCCCAAAAGTCATAATTTATCCCCCAAAGGATTACTGAAACACAATCTGTGCAAAATAGAGAAATTAAGGTTTTCCAAAGTACTTATATCAAATCGAATCAAATGTCTTCCCACAGGCACTTGTATAAGAAGGATAAACGATACAAAAAAGTTAATCAGAATAGTTTCATTAAATACAACACACAACAAATTACTGAACTGATAGTGTTCATCATTTGCTAGAGTTAAGCAGATGACATACTACCAACTATTTGCGTTTTGCCACTTGGGATATATCCTAAAGTACATTTTTTAGTATTTGAAGATATAAAACAAACACACAACAAAATTGTGCTGTTAGATTCTGGACTTGACAAATACTGTTATAATTTATTTCCAATAAATAACTGATTCCAAAGAGCTCAGGTAGGAAGCAAAAAAAGTTCATTAGTTACAGAAAATTTTTTATTTATGATATTTGCGCAATTATGTAACATTTCATTTAGTAAATTTTGGTTAATTACATAATGGAGACCAGCCTGGCTAACATGGCGAAACCCCGTCTCTATGAAAAATACAAAAATTAGCCGGGCGTCGTGGCAGGCGCCTGTAATCCCAGCTACTCCAGAGGCTGAGGCAGGAGAATCACTTGAACCTGGGAGGTGGAGGTTGCAGTGAGTCAATATCATGCCATTGCACTCCAGCTGGGCGACAGAGCAACACTTTGTCTCAAAAATAATAAAATAAAATAAAATAAAACTAACAAAATGGAGTTAATACTTAATAGCCTAGACTGACAAATCTTTCAAGTTGTGATGTCATGACAAAATATGAAAGTTGAAAAGTTATTTGTTTATTCTGTGCAGATAACGATAAGATTAATCTCCAGTAGGAACCCAATGATTAAGTTCAAACTTTAGGTTCAAATTGCAAAACAAACAAGCAAAAAACAGTGTGTCTATATTCAAATATATAACACTGGAAAATCATATACACAATTTAAACATTGGCCAATAGTTTAAGTCATTCTTGCCAACGCTATATGCTCCATCATTAAGAGCTCCTCAGCAAGCCTCTCAGAGTCAAAAATCAGTATGTCTTAAACTATGAGCTTAGTTTTAGAGTTAAGGTCCCTAATACAGGAAGTTAAGTAAAGACAAATAAGTAAAGAATAACAATCCTTTTCAACTATCAAAGAGATAAATCTAGTACATCTGTGTCAATTAGAGCAAACGGTTGTATAATTTTTTTAAGACAGAATAATAAATCATTACTAATCACTTAAGAGTAAGAACATTACCAGATTTAAGAAATTAGTTCTACCCACAAACTTACTGCTGGTCTCCGAGGTTCTCCAGGCAGTTGCGGGGGATAGACAATTTTATTCTTCTTCTCCCATTTTCGAGAAATGTCAAGAGAAGCACTTGTGTGGATATACGATTGAGGTAAAACACTGAAATGAAAGAAGCCTATAAAACAACAGACACTTAGGGGACCTTTTTGTAGAGTTTACATATCTTTTGAACCATATCAGCTCCATTTTGATGAAAACAATTTAAGGATCACCTCTAAATATTCTAGAGGTATTCATTAATAGACACTACTTTTAAAGATAACAAAGAGCCAGTTACAGAGGCTAACAAGAGAGAAAGTAAACGCACATAAGTCAAACCGTTAAAAGATATTAACCCAAGATTTCTTGCCCGGACTGGCCAATAACACTGTCTTCTATAAGTCACCCACTCCTAAGAAAGATTTAGAGAAGACATAATGAGCTCTCTGACCTGACCTGTAAGATTGCCCAACTTTGTTGAGTAACTAAGACAAATGCACAAAACAATTAGAAGACAATATGAAATCACATAACTAAAATATAGCAAATAGCAGAGGATTTCAGAGGTGACTTCAGGTGAATCTTGAACATCCTTATCAATACGGCTTGGCTCCGTGTCCCACCTAAATCTCATCTTCAATTGTAATCCATACATGTTGAGGGAGGGACCTGGTGGGAGGTGATTGGATCGCTGGGCACTTACCCCCATGCTGTTCTCGTGATAGTGAGGGAGTTCTCATGAGATCTGATGGTTTAAAAGTGGCAATTTCCCTGCACTGTCTCTCTCTCCTGCTGCCTTATGAAAAAGTTATCTGCTTCCCCTTCACCTTCCCCCGTGATTCTAAGTCGCCTGAGGCATCCCCAGCCATGCGGAACTGTGAGTCAATTAAATGTCTTCTGTTTATGAGTTACCCAGTCTCAGGTAGTATCTTTATAGCAGTGTGAAATGGACTAATACACTAATTATCAGAGGAATGGGGCAACAACATACATCATCTATGCAGAGGTACAGAGTTGGGAAATAAGAGGAGGTCTGACTGAGTCAGAGAATTTGTTAAGTATTGGAAAATATTGGTAAGGTCACTGAGGCTAGAGTGGTTGTCTTTGAATGCTAAACTAATGGGCTGAGACTTGATGAAGATCCCAAATTCACTATTCCTTGACCTCTTCCCCCACACTTCAATTGCTTTAATAATATACAACTAGTCATTCTCCCTCTCTCATCTTCCCCAGCATCTGCCACTCCCCTATATCACTAAATAAAATTATTCTTGAATGGTGTGCTAGTTTATCTTCGACTTCCCAATGATTTTCATCCTGCCAGAGCTAGTTACCAAGTCTTACAGATGCTTCCCCTGAAATCATTCTCAAATGCTTTACCTCTTCTCCATTCTAATTGCCACCATCCTATATAGCAATAGCCTCTAGATTGATTTCTCTTCCATCAACTTGCCCAGTTCCAATCCATCTTTCTCTGCTTGAGTACTAAATGAGTTACCCTTCTATAATTCAGAGCTACTCATGTCATCCTCCAGCTTAAAAACCTCTGTTGAAATAAGCAAATGAATAATTATGTAATATTCTAATGCTATCCTTTTTTTTCAGTGTCACTGAGTACTGGGATTCTTGGTATGGAAACAAGCAGAAGAGGGTCAGCCAAAATCCAGTAAGTACTAGATCTCTCCACTGAAAAGGTGTAGAAGCAATGACCAATCTAGTAGCAATTAGCACCCCTACTTCCCAGATTACAGTCTTGAAATATCATTTCCTATTGAAGAAAACCAAAACTTCTGGGAGAAATGGCTGATTGCAGATCTCAAGCAGATAACATGCCAAATCAGCCTAGAACATCTTGTCATATCAGAAAGCAAAGAAGCCATCAAAGATTACCAAGGTCATGTCAAAGGCACTCAGGAGCCAACTTGTGGATGCCCAACAAGTCAAAGATGGGACAAGCCAAGCATTAATGAGGACAATAACTATAGTAGTTATTGTCCTTTAAACATGAAATATGTTTAAAGCCATAAGTTCATAATAAAACCAGGAAAAATACAAATTAGTTACCATTAGAAGATGCTAGCGAGCCAACTTGTTATTTTAAAAACTGGTGAATGAAGAAAAAGACAGGACTTATCCTGTCTTTCCTATACAAACTGTACCATTAAGTTGCCAAGTAGTAGATGAGGAAAAGTTTGACTTGTATAAAGTTAGTAATGAAGGAATAGCAAATTATAATAGCATCATCTTGTAATCCTTAATAAACTAACGGATAAAGGAGGTGTTATGTGCCTCCTGATGGAAGAACACACCACCCACCATTCACAAAGTAGTCTTTCCTGCCCAAAATGAAACTGGGGGCTCAAGCCCCTAGATTCAGTATAGGAAACAGAGAAAAGAGAACATGTTATGTAATATCATGGGGATGCACTCGGTAAAATTCAAGGTATGGAAAACGCTACAAAACAACCAATTGTCTCCAACAAATAAATTACAAGAAAAAAAAAGAGAGGGTTGAAAAAAAAACCCACAGAGTAAGAGATTTAACAAAAATACCAATTAGTTTCAATGTGTGAACTATTATAATTTAAAAAGTATGACAGTTATGAAGCCATTGGAAGTTTAAATATCAAATGAATATTTAATGTTTTTAATGAGATAATAGTGAAACATTTATGAAAATGATACAGTGGGGGGAGTGTTTCAAAATATGATGAGGGAGAGTACAGGTTATAAATAAGATTGGCCATAAGTAGTAAGTGTTGAAGTTGGGTAACAGACACATGGAGGTTCATCAGACTGTCTACTTTTGCATATGTCTGGGCACATCCAAATAAAAAGTTAACACAGCAAACTTTGGTATTTCCCTACTGCCCACAATAGGAAGTCCAAACTCTTTAGTAAGACATGGAAGGCCTTTCGTAATCTAGACCCAACCTGCCCTTATGGCCTAGACACACAGATGTTCATCGTTCTCTGAACAAGCTTTTACTCAAATTGTTTTCTCCTGCCTTATTATCTCCTGAATGAAATGCTTATCCTGTTTTTAGTTCTAGCTCAAACGTCACCTCAATGTGAAACATCACCTAATCCGTTCTCTGATCACGATTCTCATGTTGTCTTAATACTTTGTTCTTGCCGGTCATACAGCAATGACTCGGACCACTGTACTATCATAAGTGGCTATAACAGAATGAGTTACTGTACTAAGTGTACAGATGTTGCACATTTAAAGGGCAAGTCTGACTTTCTTCGTATTCTAGCACCAAGAACAATGTCTGGTACGTGGATACTGAGTAAACATTTAACTCAGACTTATACACTCAAAGTGGTTGTATATTGGCATATTCTCATACAAATATGCAACTTGGAAGATTTACTTGGCAAACGAAACCTTTGTTTTTAGTCTTCAAGCCATTTAGACCAAAGACTCAAACAAATCTATTTTTCTAGTGTATCATATTTACTCCAAGTTCACTATCTCCTATCCTAATATCAAGATTAGTGCCATCAAAATACCTAACAAAATCTGTACCTTTGCCTTCCACATTTAGGTTCCAATGTCTTAACTGAAAAGCACAAAATTAGGATACATGATGTATGAAGGCGTATTTTGCTAATGAAATATAAGCCAAGTGGTGACAGCTGAGGCTACAGAGTCAAGCAGACCTGGGTCTAAATCCTAACTCTAATTTACTAGGTGAATGGCCTTCGGGAAGTCACATAACTTTCTGGGTCTCAGTTTTCCCATCGGTAAATAGAGTAATAATAATTACCTCATAGCCTTCTTAAGAAGCTCAAATGTAAGTAAAATACTTAACCTGACACTTAAAAGGGCTCAATAAACTTTAGATATTATTACTTGTAGAATGAGAAGAATAATACCTACTTAATATTATTGATGGATTAATAATTAATATAGTGCATCCTACAATGTCTAACCCATGATAAACACTGATGGCTAGTGTTATTTTTTAAATTAGGCCCTTTGGCCAAGTATGGTGGCTCATGCCTGCAATGCCAGCACCTTGGGAGGCCATGGTAGGAGGACTGTTTGAGGCCAGGAGTTCAAAACCAGCCTGGGCAACACAGCAAGACCTTGCCTCTGTTTTATTTGTTTATTTTGAGACAGAATTTCACTCCCGTCACCCAGGTTGGAGTGCAACGGTGCGATCTCAGCTCACTGCAACCTCCACCTCCTGGGTTCAAACGATTCTCCTGCCTCAGCATCCAGCGTAGCTGGGATTACAGGGGCTCACCACCACACCCAGCTAATTTTTGTATTTTTAGTAGAGATGGGGTTTCACCATGTTGGCCAGGCTGGTCTTGTACTTCTGACCTCAGGTGATCCACCCATCTCAGCCTCCCAAAATGCTAGAATTACAGGTGTGAGCCACCATGCCTGTGTTTTTTTTTTAAAGGGTATAAAAAATAAAACAAAGTTAGGCCCTTTGAATAGTTAATCTCTCCTGTCCCCACTCCCCAAATCAGTCCTGTGAACTATAAGCTTTAAATACACAATTTCAAAGTTTCTTCTCAAGTTTATAATCATAAACGTTTATGTTTCTATGTTGTTGTAATTAGTGAGTAGGGTACACTATGTTTGTCACCTCTTTGGACCTTAGTTTCTTTGTCTGTGAAAAGAGGAATTGGACTACATCATCCATAGGGCCTCTCCTAACCTTAATTCTATCACTCATCTCATCACCAACAGCATGACAAAAACATGAACCCCTTTGCTACAAACCGATCTGAAAGATATCTTGAGTCAGGCCCATACCTGCTGTGCCCATCGAGCACAGTACCTTGCGCTTTTCAAATCTTCGATACATATTTGGTGAATTAAATATGTTGCTTCATAAATTAAGCATACTATGAATTAATAATGTCAAAGCTTTCTGAATTCTTATAATACTTTCAGGACTCAAATAATTCATAAACTGAATTATCAAGCAAAGACCAAACTACCATAATCAAATTAAATTAAAGTATTAATCCAAATGGGGTACTTAATTTAGAAGTACAGAATATTAAATCAAAAGTTCCTATGTGCCCTCTCCTGGCCAGTTGCTGGAATAACACTCAATTAAAACAATGAATCAACCTTAAAAAAGAAAATACAG